TGAGACACCAGCTGCAAGGCAGAATTCAGTTGACTAGGGTGACATCTGCGATATATCTGCGTATCATCGGCAAATAATAAGCGCTCGGTAAACCTGAGGAAGGTGCCAATATCGTTAATAAATAAGGAGAAGAGGAGCGGTCCCAAAACGGATCCCTGGGGAACTCCGGAAGTTACGCACAGCCAATCAGAGAGCTCCCCTTCAAGATCGACAACCGCCTGAGAGCGACCAGTTAGGTAGGAATAGATTAGTTTGAGGGCCAGATCTGAAAACCCTAGTTTCCTGAGTTTGGTTAGCAGAAGAAGATGACAGACAGTATCGAAAGCCTTGCTGAAGTCAAAAAGGACAAGTATCGTCAACTCGCCCACATCAACGCCACTCTTGATATCGTGAAGCAAACGAAGGAGAGCCGACTGTGTAGAATAACCCTTTCGGTATCCAGACTGACGGTCATCAAGGACGTGATGGGAATTGACAAAGTCGACGATCTGACCATGCAAGACCTTCTCGAATAACTTGGAGAGCTCACATAGATTGGCAATAGGCCTAGTGTCCGAAGGGGACGTAGGAGTCTTTACCTTAGACAAAGGGCGCAATATGGCACGTTTCCACAGTTTCGGAAAATAACCCCGTTTAAGACAGCTATTGAAAAATGAAGTAATAAGATTGCCAATGTGGGGCAAGGCTATGGCGATGGGGTACAGTGGTAAATGATCGCAACCAGCAGCTAGAGAAGCAGAAGAGGAAACACACAAGGAGTGAAGATTGTCATAACTAATTTGAGAAAAATTGAAAAGTGGTTCTTTGGGAACTATGGATGAGATAACGTCAGAAAATTGTGATTGTGAACAGGAGGGATGACGATTGGAGATAGAGGAATAATGGGAATTCAGAAGATCGCGAGAAAAGAAATTAAGAGGTGAAGAAAGAGGTGATTCTATTAAGCCAAGATTGGCAAGCTCACGCCATATCTTGGAAGGATCTGAGATTGAATTCAATCTATCCATGTTAAAGCGCTCACGTGCTCTTCTTAAGTCGAGTGTGAGTTCATTCCGGAATAACCTATAGATGTGGAAGTCAAGAATATTGTGAGATCTACGCGCAACATTATAGAGCCGGTTGCGATGCTTTATCCGGCAAGCGAGAGCATCGGTGAGCCACGGTGCCGACGGACGAGTAACACGAAACGTGTGGGTAGGAGCGTGTAGGTCAAGGCTGGAGGTGATATCGTTGGTAATGGTGGTCAGAATGCCGTCAATGTCAGGCTCACCAAGACACTCGCAACTAAAATCAGTAGGAAAAGATGAAGACAGTTTGGAAGAGACAATTTCAATAAATCGTTGCTCATCAAAATTCTTAAAGCTACGTCTAACTAAGGTACGGCTCTTGAGAGGCGAAACTTCGAATGAATAGGTTAATTCGATACGATCGTGACCATTAATGAAAGGAGCGTCAGACTTACGAAACGAAGAGACCTTATCCAGGTTGTCGACTATGAAAACATCCAGCAGTGAGTCGGAGGATTGGGTATGAAAAGTCGACTGCGACTGCACAATGCTAAGCGACAGTTGAGAAGCCAAACTCTTGAGGTGATTAGATTCATACGAGGAGGTAAGGAGATTGCAGTTCAGATCGCCTGTAATGATAATGTTCTTGTAATTATGCATGAATGTGGTAAGGGTGTCAACATACTTACAGAAGTTACAACCTCTCGGCCTGCGATACATGGAGGTGAATAAGAGGGGCGCTCCTGCACCACACCGAATGTCGAGGATAAGGAATTCAGGCTCATTCGAGAAGGCAGAAGGCGATGACGCCAGGACTCGCGCACGCAACGATTCATGAATATAGCAGGCCACACCACCCCCCTCTCTGCCCTCCCTGTCAACCCGTAACAGGTAGTATCCAGGGATACGGACTAAATCATCTGAAATGTGTGAGTGAAGCCAGGTCTCGGAAATAGAGATAACGTGAAAAAAATTAGACGCGAAAAAGGCCTGGATTGACTCAAGATGGGCAGGAAGGGAGGTGGCGTTGAAGCAAGCAACCTTTATGTGATAACGCGAAGTGGGGGGAGCGACATCCGCGACGGCAGGTCAGTGAAGCTGCTCAAGATCAGCCTCTGAGGCTATCGAAATTGGAGGCAGACCATTGTCCTTACGGACAAAAATTCGTCCGTCCTTGCTCCAGACATGTTTGAAGGACAGTTGCTTAGCCCTGACCCGCACCCGACGCAAAAGTTTATAAGTATGGGTTGGAAGCAACTCGTTGACATATATATTGCTGGGGACGCTAGTCGGGAAAACATCACTCGCAGTTAGACGGCGCTTGCCCCGCATTATTTTCAAGATGTGGTCGCGAATCTCACAAGATTTGAGCGCGACTATTACCGATCTCCCGGGACCAGCAGCATCGGTCAGATCGGGGGGGGGGGGGGGGGGGGG